TCAATAGGCAATTGATTTCAAGCTTAACCAAAGCATTTATATATTCTGTATCTGCATTGAGCAGCAATCATCAACAGGATCAGGTATAAAAATTCAGATCACATTATTGACAAGCATACAAAGAGCTTTATGCTTTCCCTGAAGTGAAGGATGCAACACTGCAGTGAAAGAATTCTACTGAACATAAGACTCATCAGGTATTTTGAGAAGTGAAGCAAAATGAATAATTGCTTTTCATTTTTCCTCAAAAACTGAATTGATTTTGTAAGTTCAGTAGGAATTTCTTTGCTGTTTGTTATTATTTTTTCTAAGCTACCTAGCTCTAACCATCTTCTGAATAAATATCTCATTAGTATTCTTATTTTGCTCCTGAAACATCTAATTATCTTTTGCATAATGAGAATAGCTTATCACTATAAATGTTTTTCTGCTGGGGACTGCAATTTTCCTCTCGGAAAAGCTCTTCTCTACCGACTTGCAATAGCATTTATGCAGAATTCTGTACCTTACATTCTTTCAGGACTCATCCGTTCGAACATATCTCAGATTACATGTGTCTCATGAAATTATGTTGTGCAGACAAGACATTGGTGTAGAATGACATTTAAAAAAAAATCATATCTCACTTAATATTTAAGACTTATAACAGTGGTATATGAGACTTACGATTAAATGGTCTGGACAACCAATTTCCTTTTTGTTCATACAGGCAGACTTAGTAGGCTACTTCTATGCAGCAGTTTACAGTAGGTTCAACAAACACTATGCTGAAGCACTCAAGAAAATAACTATTTAGAAATTACAGTCCATAACTGTTGAACTTGGTTAACCATAATGTCCATTAAAATTTGATCAATACGAAGAAAAAAACCCCAAACACCTGCTTTTCACTGAATTGTACTAAATATTACAATTGAAATGATGTCCTGTAGAACAGGATCTCTCTAGAATCAATATAAAATCAGTGTACTGCTGGCTCTGGGCAGCCTGGTGTGGGGGCTGGTGACCCTACACATTGCAGGGAGATTGAAACTAGATGATCATTGTGGTCCTTTTCAACTCAGGCCATTCTATGATGATTCTATGATTCTATAATCAGTAACTACATAAGAACATTAAAAGCATTCTAAGGAGCTGTTGCCGCTCTCTCTGCAACATTCGTTTTCCACCCCATAAGATGCTGCTTTGCCAGCGAAACCGACCCCATACCAGGTCGGGGCCAAATGCTCACACAGACCCCAAGTATAGGTGAAGCAAAATGGTGTTTATTAAAATGTAGCAGGCACTTAAATATTCTCGTCCCGCTTTGTCTACACCCCTTGCATACACGCTGTCCTATTATGGGACAGCACCTGGCAAGCCCTGAGCATAGGGAACCTGACCCCGTCACACACCGTCTCCTCGCCACGCCTACTACAGGAGCAAATATGCTGATGTGTTCCCCACATAGTACTGATGATGACAGACAATTTTAGGAGAGTCAAATTCTGTTTGTCAGGACAGCTAAATGAATGCTTTAAATAGCTAGAAGGCCACATAAAAAGCAATCTAAAAGACAAAAAGAGCTCATATTGTCTCTCCCTCTTCTATCCTGTGCCAACACTAAATCCAGCAGAGAGGAAGTATAATGGGAATTCCGCTCTACAATTTTAGATCTTGATATAAAATTAATATATATTCTATAAGAAGAGAACTATTTCTAAATCTTGTTAAGCTTTTTTTTTTCTGTATCTGCTTAAATATACAATATTTTATAATCCTTTCTGACAGTACTGGTGTGGAATGGACATGTAGCAAAAAAATTTTTTTTAAGTTTTTCTGTTGGTTTACCTTTATTTCCTTAAAAGTCTTTCCTGATGACAGAAGCAATGCTCTCTTCAATAAAAGCAATATTTGTTACCTGTCTAAGCATTCAAAGATGCAAGCAACCAGAAGAGAAAGCTTTTATGAATAATTTTTCTAATACATTTGAACTTTCTGTAAAAATTAAGGAAAAGAACAGTGTGAGAAACAGACATGAGGATGTTATCTCCAGGAAAGTAAATCAGTGCATCAGAACTGCCATAACAACAATAAGAAGCAACTGCAGGTACATTAAAAATATTTAGATTATGACGCAAAGAACTGCAGCATATAAAGTTCCTTCTCTTTCAGCAAATATAGTCTTAGACAATCATGCTTATAGGTGCACATTAAGAACTGTTTTCAGATCTTCAGTTGCTGTGTTCCTATCACCAGCTTATCCAAAGACAGACATTTAACTTTACAGGACTAATACCAGAGAACCTACATTAAAGGGTGTTTTGTAGAAAGATAAAATATCACCTACAATCAGGAACATGAAAAAAAAAGTATATTTTAAATAACTATAAATAAATAATACATAATGAGATCAAATAATAACCACACTGTTTTGAATAAAAATAAACTAAAGAGGAAACAGAAGAGAATTCTTATCTTAAAAGCTCATGGAGACAAGTTCACAGGTCTAGTACATTGAATAAGCATGGATTTTTTGGAAAGGATCACTGAGAGTACTCAACAGATGTCAGCAAACATATTTGGTGTGATACAGTATTCATATGTCAAAAGATTAAAAGCAAAGTGAAGTGTCATGTTAAATAAAATCTGAAAATACAAAATGAAAGAACTGGGGTACTAAGAACGAAAGAACAAAGAGAGACAAATGGCTGAAGTTTTACACTGCAAAGATGGCATATATTTAAATCAAGATTGTGATGAGTCTGCAAACTGAAGAACCTTAAGTGAGAGAAAGATGTGGATGGTAAGATAAAACAAGGATAAATCAAAAGACTTGTTAAATGTAGTGACAGCAGCACAAAAAAGGAAGGCAATAAAAATTTCAAAGCCAAAAGAACATAAAACTCTTCCAGCTACACAGTTGGTCTGAATCAAAATGCAACTAAGGTGTAGAATTGTCAGCAGAAATTAAAAAGCTAAGAGATCTTGCAAGAACTAAACGTACATTAAAAACTTAGGAAAGTAAACTCATTCACTAAACTGTAAAGTCTAACTTTCCATGGAGATGTCAATATAGGAATTAAACTATCTACTTCCTGGAAAAGGCTACCTAACATAGATTAGATTTTAGTGACCACTTTAACAGTTAAACAATTTAAATTAGACAATGGAAAACAGATAAATCATTTCTTTAAGCAGTGTTTTCTTATAGTACTGCCAGGAAAAAAATAAAGATTTCATTACTACTAGAGGATTCATGGCCACTCAACATACTGCACCCTAATTTATATTAAAAGATTTCACAAATGCCCGAAAAGTAAATGAAATTATGAAGAAATGAGCTATCATCTCTATATAAAAGTCAGCCTTCAGAAATAACTAAAAAAAATACAAAGTTGAAAATCCAGCTATTTGATTGAAATCCTGCTGCTTCAGGCACCTATTACATCTCTGCAAAAATATAATTTCTTTCATGACAACAGAGATTTGAGCTTCAAAATGGCTCCATACTGAGCATTTCAGATAAACATCAAATTTTCATTTATTCCTCTTTTTTAATGTTCTTTTCCAACCCCTATGATTCTGTAATTTTGCAAATCACAAAACTTGGTTTTGTTTGCTTGCTACACTTCTAATTTAACTGATTGGCCAGACTATAAAAATCCTTCCTTTTTGGAGGACAGGCAATCTGAAAGCCTTACTGACACAAATACATAAAGATAGCCAAACTTTGACTGGAGGTACATGGATTCCTTCAAAATTAATGCTTTCTATTTAAGTCCACAGAAACTACAACAGATACAAAGAACACAATAACACTATCTAATAGAGCAAATTCTCAGCTACAAAACTCAACTTTTCAACATAGTCACCATCAGCAATGCATTTTCACCAGTGATGAATAAGAGTTTGCATAACAGCTTTTGTTTAAGATAGGGCTGTGCAAACTCAACTAATTAGGTAGCTCATTAAGATTTGGATTTATGAATACTTGGCAGCGCCTCATCTTGTAAAAGCCATGGTTGCCTCCTCTAGCTTCTTTTACTTTCCTGTCTCCCTCCCACACTGTAGTACTGTTGCTCTGATTCATGTTTTCTATACACCGTATACAGCCTGCTATCAGCATACTTAAACCTGACATAAAAGTTATACATATGCTTCTAGGTGGCCTTTTAGCTGGAATACTTTTGACTGAGCAGCTGACCACTGCCCTACAGCTGCTGGACAGACCAGGGAACAGATACTGCTCCATGTTCACCGTGTAAGATATGTAAACCACTATATAGGCACACTAAAGCTAAACTTGGCCCACCGGAGCCAGAACACAGACCAAGTGTGGTAAAAAGCTCAGTAAAGCAGTAGGGTAATTGACTGCATACTGAGCTGTGTAGTTAATGCTATACTGATACCTGTACCCAGCAGTACTGGTTTAAAGGTGACATGATTGCATCCTATATTCATTTTCTGTTGTAGATAGAAAAAGTGTATGGCCCTTTATTTTATTGGTTTTGGCTACAACTGCAGTATAATTTGTTCTCCTACAAGTGAAGGAAATCTTTCACAAGATGACTTTTATCTCAAATACACATTAGATTCCCAGTTTGAGTACTTAATACAAACACATTACCTGTTAAGTCATCTCCTTTCCTGTCTTAAATGTTCAGGTTTCAGTGGTAGTGCTACCTCTTCACCATGAAGTTTTCAAGGATATATAAAACCCCACTGTCTATAAAAAAATCTAAACCACATTTCCTACCATTTAACATAAAAGAAAAAAACACTTGAAGTCTATTTTTATAATTTTTAAAAGCAATACAGAAATCGATTTTTCACTCTGTTGGTGATTTTTATGGTTAAATATATATTAACCACAATACTTATTTTGTTTATGTTAGAAAAACACAGTCATAGGTTCAATTTATTTTTCACCAGAAAATCAGTACAAATTTCATAATAATAAATTATAAACAAGAAAAAAATTCCAGTGAACTCAAAAGAATAAATTTAGAAAGTAATACCTGAAACCACACCAATTCCATCATCACAGTCATAATCAGAGACTTCACTGTCACTGATTCTTTTGGACCCTGTCAAAATAACAACAAAAACATGTATCAGTTATTTTCCTGTAAAACAGAGCTGTCTTAAGCCAAGTCTATAAAGAAATAAAAAGATCTCATATCAGATAATTAAGCATTAATAAAAACATAAATAATATTATTGATGTTATTATTATTGCAAACATATTACAGTACCAACTATTCTCATCTAAATGTTCAATGTAATACACAAAGAAATGGTGAAATACAGCTCTGCAACATTGTTTTTATGATGCTTTCAGATACTTCATATGCTATCTATTCATTCCATATCAAAACAGGTACCACACGGTTCATCTTCCAAATTTTCACACACAAAGCATCTGAGTACCAGAAAAAAAATACATGGTAATGATCATATAAAACGAATGCAGTATTTTCTTTGGGGTATTAGTAAGCATTAACAGGGGAAAAGGCAGCTTCACACATAAAATGTGCTCTGATAAACAAAATCTCTCTGTGACGCATTGGAGGATGTAAGCCATTAAATGCTACACAGGAGTGCTATACGGGAATAGATGGAACTTAGTTGGCAAAAGTAGATTCCGTGTCTACAATTAGCACAAAAATGTAGGTCATGTAGGACAAATACATGTGTTAATTTGTTTATCTTTATTTTAATTCTGACTTCTGTTGCAACTTTTGAACAGCATTTGATTGATGCCATCAGGATGAAGCACTGGCATGTCAAAGTGCCAATGATAATTACTCATTTACATGTTTTAATTGTGAGAATCAGTGCTCTGCACAATGGTGTGTCTGCTCCAGTTCTCTAGACATCTAAAAATAGGTAACAAGTAGGTAGGAGGTTTAATCTGATTGTTCAATTAAGTGCAAGATTTTTTTACTCCTGCCACAGGATGATATATTCTGAAAAACAAATGGAAAAAAAATTAAGTAAAAACTGAGAGTAAACCTAAGGGAGCTCAGGACAAAGCAGTATCAATGTTCTGCTTGGGTGACTGGCATAGAATGATGCCCAGCCTCACCTCCCAGCAGAATACTCATAGAACAAGTGCCATTGTATTTGCTACTAAATATTTGAGCAAGAGAGTCCCATTTGGTTGGGAAAAAAGAGGCAGAAGTCACCAAAGGGATGCAGAGCAGCAGGATTCTGGCCTCTTTGTTAACCTTGGCTCTGACCTGGAAGCAGAAGAGCAGCTGCTGTGCAGAGACGCCAACAGCAGCTTTTGGGCTCTGCAGCTAAGCAAGGACTGGAGAATGGGAAGAACAGGCAACTGGTGCTCATCACATCAGTGCCTGAAAGGGTTTGTACTATGAAAGACATAAAAGACTTGAATGAACTGAATGTCATTCATCACCTAGTTCACCCCTGTGAATGAATGTAATTATTTATAACAAAGGCTGATTTTATTTATATTTACAGCTTTAACATATTTTTAGAATATTATCTTTCATATCCTGGAGGAAAAATTCACTTCTCTGAGGATGAAAATAGCCAACTGTTGTCCCAGTGGGCTGAAGATTTCCACTAGGAAACAAAAATACAAGGGCCTCTCTTTCCCCTCAAGCCCCCATCCACCTTTTTCCAGATTTTCCTAATACCTCAAATCCAAATCCCCTTCCAGGATCTAGAGACCATCTTCTCTTTTTATATACAGAATTCTGTCTTCAATCCCACCACACAACTAAGCTGCAGGGAAAAGACAGGGCATTGGGAAGGTGAATGGGCCAGGATCAAGACCTGCCCTAAGGATGGGCATAGAGAAAGAAGAGCCATATTTCAGGGCTTTCTTCAGCTACTAGTCCTGCAAAGGGACCTGTGTCTTTTAACAGCTTTAAAATGTAGTTTTAAATGTTGGTTAGAAATCATTTAAATTGAGATTTCTTACTTGGCTTTGTCTTTGGAAATCAATGTTTTCAGGAAGGACAGAGGAAGGAAAACATGTCTATTGAATCTGCAATGTCAAGAATTACTGCCTGGAATATGAAACTTCTGCGAAGTAATCACATTAAACTTATTTACAATATCTTCCATTAACATCAGAAATTGAACAGATTAGAAGGTCCACAGGTCAAAATCCTTTACTGAACTGAGTATCCAAAATACAAGCGTAATTACTGGCATCATAGTTCTCATAAATTTTGCAAGATTAATTTCATAATCTATGCATTCTAGCTGGTAATATTGTTTTTAACCTATTGACAACATAAATTTGAATATGTAGGCTGTAGTCCCCTCCTTAACCATGTCTTTTCCAAATACCACCATTATCTTATATTCATATCAAGTAATTGAACCAGTGTCCATAAAACAGAGAAAGCACAACTCATAATCTTTCTGGGAAGTGTGACAATGAAGTCTCTCATCAACAAATTATTCCAAAGGAATACTGCTAAGGGGCTGTTGTTTAGTGTTTTCAATGCATATTTAATATCTATTTTGAAATGTTTGACCAATATGTTGTAAAATATGGTGCATATTTCAAGAGTAAGAAGATGAAATCCTTTCTATCAAATTCAAAATTCTGCAAAGAGTTTGAGCACGTAATACCTGGAACATTGAGTGCATCAAATAAGTGCACTGATGACAATGGTTTGTATGTCTTTGATGTATTTTAAACATGAAGAATGATAATTAAGCCTCCCTGTCACGGTACTTGAATATAAGTTATTATTAAAATATTATTAATTATTAGCATTTTTCTGATAACTAGATGCTAGCAGTTTGCAACTTCTGAATAAAAATAATACTAAAAAAAAATAAAAACACTTGTTTCTGGTAAAAGCCTCAACATAAGAAGAGTAGCACGTGAGGTTCGAAAGTTTATCAAAGTCTATTTGACCAACCAACAAAGAACTGACATGGATAAGAGATGAAATGAGTAATATGAATAAGGTGTTAGCTTAAATGGTGAAAGTACGTCAGATATTTTGGCTCAGAAATTCTTTTCATCTTGTGGAAAGAAGGGAAAGAGCAGACCAAGCTCTCAAGGAGGGGATCCTATCCATTACAACGTGGGAACATTTTACTAGGTTTGGTGAACTCCTTGGGGGAACAAAGAGTATTGAAGCATGCTTGTATGATCTCCTTCCCTGAAGCTCAACAAAAGCCTTCACAACCATTTAGAGTAACTTAGTGCTACCACTGTTTTTTCTATATTCAAAGCTGACACATAAGCAACCCTAAAATCAGTCTTACAACAAATGTCTTAAGAATTTACTCTCTCATATTCATCCAATTTGTGCCTGAGGGTTCTTCATGTGAACTAATTTCTCATGCAGTCTCACTGTCTGCATGTCAATCTGTCACTTCTTCCTCCTGTGGTTTTTCAAGTTTTCGACCAATCTCATCTAAATTGTCAGAAAGGTTTAAATACCAAATGTAATTAAGTTCCTACAGATCTTTGAAAAGGGTTGCAGAAATAGAGATATATTTGAATCAGAACCCTTTTGTGGAAAAGAAAGAAAATCAAAGTAAAATTTGAGCGCACACGGTGAAATCATACTAGTCATAGCAAACATATTCTGTTTCCAAGTGAACGTGTAAGACATGAGAGGGATCTAGGGATATTTCCAGAGAGAGCAGACTGGAAGAAACATGGGAGAATAAGGGTAAATGTAATGGGAACTAGGCTTTATTAGACCTCCTTTTAAGAAATGGTTTGGGGTTTGTAGAGAACCTGCTTTAGCAGGTGCGTTGGACTCAATGATCTTCTGAAGTCCCTCCCAACCCCTGCAATTCTGCAATTCCATGATCCTGTGATTTTTTTTTCTCGCTATGATAGCACTGGTTCTATTTTCTTAACAACGTGTGCTTCATTTCTTAAACTTAACTGAAAGATAATTAAATGAACCAATTCTCAATGAGATTCTCATAATTAAAACTGCAGCAACTGCAAAAAGTCCCACATGAAAAATGCTATGAAATTTAAGCTTGTAAAAACTTTACGTTATGAATTTATTTATGTTTAATTAAGGGAAACTTCTCAGATATGCCAACTGTATTCATAACTGGGAATTTAAAGCAGTGCTAAACTGTAAAAACGTATCAATACAAATACTGATTTTGGTAGCAATTCACTTACCCCATGCTTCCATTCTAAAAATACTTACGTTAGTTCTCAAACAACTATAATACAACAGTGATCCTTTAAATAAAGCTTAAGCAAAATAGCATTTTCCTAGTACAGTTAATAAAGCTTACTACAGTTCACCTATCAAAGCTCTACCTAAATTAAAGGCAGACAAAGCAAGTATAATGGTATAGTATTGCTCCAATATCAATACTGAGATGTCATGAGTAGAGAAACAAAGCCAACAAAGAACCTATGGCTGAAAAGCAGACATGTAAAGCTGAGGAACATTTAAGCAATTTAGCATCTGCACAATAGGTAGCAAAAGCACAACAATAAAATATCAAATTAAATTTTGCATGTATGTGGAAGCAATAAGCATTTCTGGCATGCTGAAAGTTTACCTGAATTATATGAATATAAGCCTTTATCTGGAAAACAAATATTGAAATGAAGTAGTGTCAGGGAAAATTACATGAATCACTACATGTAACAGGGATGGTCAGAACCTTAAACTTCACTGTAACTGCTTCTGCAGACTGAAGAATTTGATACTTCAGGCCATATTTCAAAAGCAAAATCTCAATCAGATTTGAGAAATTAAACCACAAAAACACCAATCACTTCTGGTTTGACATTTATATTCTGCAGTCAGGGAGGACTGCAGGAGGTCAGTCATCTCCAATTCTCAAATACAGCTGCTTATTTACTGTAAGCAAGTGTTCAACTTTTTACGGGCAAAATGTATATTCAACTAATTATACAGGTTGCTACCCTTAAATGACTGTTGGCACCTCGGCAGAAGTTATTAGCAGAACTTTCCTGAGAGGTAGCTATGAATACTACTTTAAATTTCACGGACTCTGTAGTGATGTTAAAGTCAATCTTTTATCTCCAGCTAGTGAATGATTTGATTTGGTAAAAATGCAAAACAATGGACACGAATGAAAA